GTGTTGCGGCTCTGGCTGGCCAAGACTAGAAGGAAAAACCAACAGTCGCCATCCATGAGATCACTGATAATTATTTCAAAATTTGGTCTCAGTTAGCACTCTGGGCATCCACTCAGTACACCAGCTCTATTGCTTATATTTTTCTTTTGTGTTATTATATAAACCTTTAAGAAAACATGTTTGTAACGGCCACCCAGGTTGCTGGAGGGGTGTATGCTGTTGGAGACGTCCTTTTCCCGGCGAGAGCGTGTGCTGCAGAGCATTCACGATATCCCATCACCTGGATCAGTGTAGAGAGGGAGGCAGAGCTCTTACAAGAACTAGTGATTTAGCTGGATGCAGGTTCCCTTCAATAACGAGACAAGGCTACGTTTTGAGGGTTAAGCAGAACAGAACAGAACCGACTGAACTGGGGCTATATTGCTTCTTATATACAAGTTTTCCGACAAGGTTACCACCTACGTGGGGCTTGTTGGGCACTGAAAACACAAACTCAACAACCATGAGTTTACAGTCACACAGTTAAACACTCCCATTCATTACAGTAAATTCCTCCCATCTGCTTAGGCGATCATTGAGTTAATTGCTGTATCAACTCAATTATCTCCAAGCGAAAAATAAATTTTTTACACAATTTTTATAACTTAAAAATTATACATGCAATTTCAATAAAACTTACATTTTCTGAATGAGCATAATTAGGGAACAAACATATCCAAAAATCATACAAATTGTCCCAGTGGTTCAGGAGATAGCTGGAAGTCTCATTTGACCGACCGCCAGCATGGCTTTCTTGCCCAAAACGGTTCCACAGTATTTGGCTGTAGTGCCAGTCCATTCACCACAGTTCAAATACCGTTCAAATGCATGAATGGGGGCTGTTCATGCAAATATGCAATGTTAATGTGGCGTTTGTATAGTCCAACGCCGTTTGACTCCCGCCGAAGTGTCGAAGTTCCAGAGAAGGTAAAAGTTCAGCGGTGTTCGTGCCGTTGCGCATCCGATTTTAGTTCCATGAACTCTGACCATGTTCGGCTAAATTAAAATGGCCGCTGCCACGTGTTCGTATGCCGAACGGCGGCTCCCCTTCGAACACTTCGGCACTTCGGCTGCATCCGAAGTGTCACTTTAAAAGTGCAGAGCTGTAGCAGTACAATTTAAAGGGCCAGAAACAGTCTCCAAAATACAACAGCCATAAATAAAGGTTTTTAAATGGCAATACCTCCCAGGGGCCATAGTCACAAGGCAAAAGGCTAGCCATTAGTCCTCTCCAAGAACAAGTGGCGAAGGGCAATTTGTCACAATGTTAATTGCAACACTTAAAAAAGCATAGAAACAACAGGATGAGCCTTATGTCTAGTATTTGAGTGAAAAATTATGAAAAAATTCCAGAGGACTCCAGAATTTTTCACCTCCTGTCAGGTGGTTTTACTTTGTGTGGTACTTGGATGTTCCAGATATACATGTGGAGAAACAGAGAGAGAGGAACCAGTGATGCAGTATGTTCAAAGTATTGGGTGAACGCACAATAAAAATCTGTGAATTTTACACTCACATGTAGTTGAGCTTATAACCAGCTCTGGATATAATAGTGTGCAATGGCACAATCCCCAATTATGGATATATTTCATTCAAATGTGACCTTCTCTGTACTCAGTGATATATAAAAGAGAAGAGAAAGTGCAATAGTGTAATATTGCAACTAAAAGTGAGTAGTAAATTAAATCTCAAATACACGCACATTTGAGGAGCTTATAACACAAGCTCAGTAAGTTAGGCGTAGGGTGCGATAATCCCCACCTAATGGATGTCTGAATGTCACAGTCTTTTCATCAGCATGAACACAAAATATGAAAAACATCAGAAAAACCAATGTAGTGTTCTCTAATATAGTGAGTAGGGAAAATCATATATGAAACGTACTCACATTCAATGAAAGTACTCACACTCAATGAAAGGTAGTTATATATGCTCATACAAGCGTTATATTTGTAAAAATGAATCATAGATGTGTTAAAAGTGTATGTTTAACGTTGGATTCTTGTATTGTAATTTTAATGTTTGTATTCTGTATTGCGTTAAGTAAACTGATTTCATTATAACCAACAGTGTGGAGTCTTTGATATTCTGTTGCTAACTTCCAATATATATATATATACTGTATCTCACAAAAGTGAGTACACCCCTCACATTTTATTAAACATTTTATTATATCTTTTCATGTGACAACACTGAAGAAATGACACTCTGCTACAATGTAAAGTAGTAAGTGTACAGCCTGTGTAACAGTGTAAATCTGCTGACCCCAAAACCGTTGGCAACAAAAGTGAGTACACCCCTAAGTGGAAATGTCCAAATTGGGCCCAAAGTGTCAATATTTTGTGTGACCACCATTATTTTCCAGCACTGCCTTAACCTCCATGGGCATGGAGTTCACCAGAGCTTCAAAGGTTGCCACTGGAGTCCTCTACCATTCCTCCATGATGACATCACGGAGCTGGTGGATGTTTGAGACCTTGCACTTCCCCACCTTCTGTTTGAGGATGCCCCACAGATGCTCAATAGGATTTAGGTCTGGAGACATGCTTGGCCAGTCCATCACCTTTACCTTCAGCTTCTTCAGCAAGGCAGTGGTCATCTTGAGGTGTGTTTGGGGTCATTATCATGTTGGAATAATGCCCTGCAGCCCAGACTCTGAAGGGAAGGGATCATGCTCTGCTTCAGTATGTCATAGTACATGTTGGCATTAATGGTTCCCTCAATAAACTGTAGCTCCCCAGTGCCGGTAGCACTCATGTAAGTCCAGACCATGACACTCCCATCACCATGCTTGACTGTAGGCAAGACACACTTGGTCTCATTGGACCACAGGACATGGCTCCAGTAATCCATGTCCTTAGTCTGCTTGTCTTCAGCAAACAGTTTGCAGGATTTCTTGTGCATCATCTTTAGAAGAGACTTCCTTCTGGGACAACAGCCACTCATATGTCTATTTCCCAAAGACAACCTCTGGATATGACGCTGAACATGTGCATTCAACTTCATTGGTCGACCATGGCAAGGCCTGTTCTGAGTGGAACCTGTCCTGTGAAACTGCTGGTCTTGCTGGCAACAATTCTTTTTTTCAGATCCTCAGAGAGTTCTTTGCCATGAGGTGCCATGTTGAATGTCCAGTGACCAGTATTAAAGAGTGTGATAGCGATAACACTAAATTTAACACACCTGCTCCCCATTCACACCTGAGACCTTGTAACACTAATGAGTCACATGACACCGGGGAGAGAAAATCACTAATTGGGCCCAATTTTACATTTCCACTTAGGGATGTACTCACTTTTGTTTTGCCAACAGTTTAGACATTAATGGCTGTGTGTTGAGGTATTTTGAGGGGACAGCAAATTTACACTGTTATACAGGCTGTACACTTACAACTTTACATTGTAGCAGAGTGTCATTTCTTCTGTGTTGTCACATGAAAAGATACAATAAAATATTTACAAAAATGTGAGGGATGTACTCACTTTTGTGAGATATTGTATATTGCTAGATTCTGGTTAAAGTGCGAGCTCTCAGATTGAAACCCAATATAAGATAAATATAACAGAGAGTATCTCTATCAGTGCATGTCTTATGAATGCATCCATAGATTTATTGTCCTGGATAAGGTTAGTTATTGTAGCTAGATAAACACATAAACCTTCACTGAATATATCTGAATACATATCTAATTTGCATTGATGTTTTTTTGGATGTATACATTGTCGGACAAGTTGTAAGTCTCAAGCACATAACACATTTAGAGCTCCATACACATTATTTAATCCTTAGTTTTAAAATTTAAGAGTTGGAACACCTGCAATATAGCCTAACTAAAAAATGCTTAAGTGGGTGGAGCTGTTTAAGTGTAAAGTTAAGCCTTTCTGGGCCAAATAAGTGTGTGGAATAAGAGAGGAGGGCAGCTCTGCAGGTCACACGATCAACTGCTGCATCCATCTTGTTATGTGGAATAAAAAGGGGTCTAATATAATTACGGTCTTTATCATGACCATAGATATAAAAATGAAAAGCTCAGGGATGGGCCAAGGCTATCCATATGGACTAAATCGTGAAAACAGGGAACATCTCTTTTTTTTTTAGTTTTTTTTTTTGCAGTGAATATGAAAGTAACAAACATGCATGTGGTGCCCCAACGGCATTCCACCTGCTAATTCCACAACACTTGTAACAGTGGGGCATATGGTAACAGTGCACAATTTTATATTTAAGTTAAGAGTTATCATACGTAGTAAACATAAGTTTATACAATCTAGTAAGTGTACGTGTAGATAAGCCATCAGTTTCTCTGTACATTTTTAAACAGGCTAGTGTTGCCACTGTGGTTTGTGCTAGCTAGTGAAATGGAACATATTAGTTAAGCGTTTACGTGACAATATTCAACAATCTAACACATGCTTGACTTGAATCTAGATATACGGTCCGATTGGATTCAGATTTATATACACAAATTTTTTTTGCTTGGAGCATATTATTTGCTAGGCGGAAGCTAGGCAATGTTAAGACAGGCATATTATAACATGTTAAGATTAACATTAAACGTTTCATGCCATTGGTCTGCGTCTCTAATGTTATGCTGCCGTGTGGGTTTCAAGAAAAATAAAACAAACTTAAGACACAGTAAAGCAAAATAAAACAAACAAAATAGCGCTATGGAGCTTTAGCTAGCTTTAATGCTGCCACTTATGGCCTAGCTTGTGGGAAGGCCTAAGGCCATGTCCTGGTCTGTGCTTGTGGCTAACCGATGCCCACCTGTGGCTGCATATAGTCTGGGTATGTGGAGTGTCCATTGGGCTGCAATGGGGTACAATGTTCACAGTCCCTTCCCCTGTTCGATATCGCGGGGGGGTTTCTGCGTCTTGTGGCGTGTGGTAGGTGTCTCAATGCTTTCTCTGTGTTCTTTTCAGCTTGCTTGGGTGCCTGCCGCTTGGTTCTGTGGTTCAGAGCTATGTGTGGGGTTGATGCTGTTTCATCTCCGTGCCATGAGGGGCTTGGGGTGTCTTGCGCCGGTTGCGTGTACACAGTTTCCTTTGCCGTGATCGAAGCTTTGAGGCCGCAGCCATTTTGCCCCCTCTCACCTGTGGGTGAGTTTCAGGCTTGGCCTGATTCGATTTCCCCATGAGGAGGTCAGGGTGTCTGAGGACCTCATCGGTGCATTGTCTCTGATGCGGCTTGAGCTGTGTGGGCATCATCCTAGCTTCAAGTTGCTGCCAGAATCTTTCAAGTGCTCTGTCTATGCGTTGTAGCATGTCATCAGTGGAGTTTGGCTGTAGCAGCTCCTGTCTGTGCGTCGCTTGCCCCTGTTCTGGGAGCTCGTCCATCTTCTTGAGTGCCTTACTTCGATTCTCCATGTGGCAGATGTCGCTCTGTCTGTTATAGCGTGGGTTTGCTTCTTTAACCAGTGGGGACCAGGATGACCCCCACGGTCCATAGCGAGGGGAGGAATCTTGTTTGAGCATCTTTCCGCCCGGCAAGGCAGTAGGAGAGCGGCCGCTTCTCCCTCGCCCAGTGTTTGGTAGGCCACAGAGCTTCAAGGTCGATTTTCCAGTGGCGGAGAAATCCCTATGAGGTATCCCCAGCATCACCGGTGTGTCGGGAACAGGCTTGATGTGCTCTGCGGTCAGGTGCGGTTTTGGCTCGGGTTTTATGCCTTATTTTAGATGTCGATCATGGGAGCCCATGCAGCACACGTCTTGCTGGGTCCGTGGCTAGTCTCCGTCCCTGAAAACAGGGAACATCTTTGATGTCACACTGCATCATCTTCATTGGATTCTCAGTCTAATCAGCTTTTTTTGATAGGGAAGCGATGAGATGACCTGGATAACACTCGCCACTATAGCACGCCCACTTCCAAGGCAAAAGAGCGGGAGGAGGGAGTGTTGGCTATTATACATAAAGGGCTGGTCGATAGGACAGAATGAGAGGAAGATTGGAATTAAGCTTTATACTTACTTGCTGGATAAGGGAGGTTGGCCATAACAGTAAGCATGGGCCAAGGGTGGCAGTGGACATAAAAGAGAAAGTATTTATTATGTGGAGGGCTGGATGAGAAATCTGTTATGTGAAAGCCTGGCACTAGGGAAGAAGGAAGGGAGGAGAATGTGTGCTAGTCCTACAGCAAGTGATGAAGCTGATTATGTCTGTTGGCAGACACGCAGTAAATGCTGATCACATCAGAGTTCTGGGCTGCCCAAGTCACGCATTCTGGGAGTACAACTTTACCCCGGCACAAAAGTGTATCTTTTTCATGATAGGCAAAAACGCTTCACATACATATTGCTTTCACTATGACTACTTCTAAAAGCAGTTTGGAGTAAGCGTTTAAGGTAGTATGTTTTTAAAAAATCACAAATCCAGAGTCTATAAAGTTATGTATTATATGTATTTAATGTGTGTGTATATATATTAATATAAATATGTGTATTTGTATGTATTTACACTACATAAAAATAGTATGCACACACAGAGATGCAATATAACTGTTTCCTTATGGACATTCCATAGCCACTATTGGGCTAGAGTGAAACCTCCTCCTTTCACTCTATTAGTCTTTATTTATAAAGCATCAAGATATTCTGCAGGAAGATTAGTGGTGGAAACATAGCCCAATCTTGCGAGGGGCACTGGATAGTAGTTTACAGGGTTATTCACTAAAATCTGAATGACCTAGAACCGAATAGGGGAAAACCATATGGCTGCATATAGGGCCATTCGGATTGCAAAATCCAGACATTTTTGATGGAATTACCAGACTGCTGAAATCTAGACACAAATCTAGCAGCAAGTGGGCAACAAGTTCAAGTGTTATATAGGGTTAATTATGTTTTGGCTGGCCAGCACTTGCTAGCCAACTGTCACATTAAGCAAGTAAAAATAAATAAAAATAATAATAAATACAAATTCTATGACCCCTTATTTCTATAATAGAGGTAACATACCTCCTTATGCATCCACGTATAGGCAGGGACATAACTATTCTAAACTGAGTAACTTGGCAGTTAGTGGGCATTAGGTGTAGTCTACTTTAAATAGTAAGGGTGGGACAATTGTGACCTAACCTGGCCCCAACCCATATGTGATGGGTAAGGGCCCTAATATTAATAATATAAGGGGGCACTGTTGTCCCCTCCCCCGGCATCAACCCATGTTTGACAGGTGGGGACCCTAATATTTACAATAAAGGGGGGATACTGAGTGTCTCCTCCCCTGTTTACCCATTAGAGGCATTGCTGTTTAAAGAAGTGGAAGGGCTAATTTTGGTTGTGGAATATGTAATATGTCAGATTACAGGAAAAGGTTTGCAAATTAGGTTCCTCCTCTTTAGCAAAAAATTTGTCCCTTTGACCAGGTGTGAAACTTTACACCTAAGGATATTCATGTGTACTTTCCCCCCAGACCTATTAGCTGCACACCTTTTTGGCCACTCTACTTTCACATATAAAAACAAAATGTCTCTGTGTAGAGGTTGTGACCTTTTCCTATATATTTTATTTAAAGGTGAGATTGGAGGTGTTATCAATCTAGAATCCCTACATTCACACCTTCTAACCTGTACCACCTTCAGGAAATCACGTTTTCTGAAGAAATCTGTTTACTAGTAAACAGTGCATCTTTCTTCCTGACCCTTACTACCCCTAGCCATAAACCAAACTATTTTGTTGAGGAAAATATGTACCACAGCTCAATAGAACTTCTATTGTCCTATAATGTTTTCTATGTGACCTTGCTGTTCTGTATGTTCATCAATATATGGTAATTGTTCTTTAGCCTAATATGATATATCCTCTAAATATTATACCTATCTATAATAAATTCTAGATAAAGGTGCTATATAAGAATTGATAAATAAGTAAATAAATAAAATGAACATTCCATAAACACTAAAGCACTCTCTCCAGAACTAAGCAGTGCAAGGCCAACTCATTGGTTGAGAACATCTGCTGATCACTCTCAGAGTGTTTCCACATTTTACAGAGGCCTGTTCCAGACAGAGCCCATGTAGGTAAATGGTTTGACTACTGACATTGAGGTTTGCGAGAGCACTCTTGGTGCAGTATGATGCGTGAATATTTTTTTTTTTAAATTCGTATGCTTTCATTTAAGTTTAACCAAACAATGAGTTAACCAAAAATGATACAAAAAGTGCAAGCTTGACCTAAACTGTTTTTTTTTTTCTCTGTGAAATTTCCTAAAAAAATATAAAAATATATGATATGAATTGCAAGCAAATTGATCATATGAATATACTGGTAAAAACTGTCAACATGTCTTCAATTGCTACTTTTCAATAATCTGGCTTAGTAAACTATTCATTGTGCTGTAAAGTATTGGCACCATTAGCACAATATCTGTTGTATTGCTGACAGATGTATTTTTAAAAGTAGAAACAGAATTCCTCCTGCATGTCTATGAAAGGTGCATTAAAACCCAAACTCTTTCTTTTCTTCGAAACTCGTGGATTTAAAGTGACAGCTTTGCCAATTACAAGCAGTGTTGAGTGAAATGCTTTTAATGGCTCTATTCAATTTAATAGCTTTCCTTTAACTCTACACTTGTGATTTAATGCAGGTGGACTGGTTTTACCACTTCCCTGGAATATGCATTCAGTCTAATGCACTGAACAACACTTGTATTTTATAGAAGAGAAATGACCACAGCTTGTTTATTTGACAATATCGTTATTGTCCAAGGCATCTAAATTGTTATACATGTCGTATAGCTATTGGTATATTCAGAGGTCCTTAAACTAGTGGAGCATCTATTATAAATGGGACCATGGCCAACTGAAATGTTATCTATGAATTGCTTATTCAATGAATCCTTTATTTGATGTATATTTTTTTATTTTAAAATATATATCAATATTAGATCATATTTTACATTAATTATGTTTATGATTAACACGCCAAATTTTTAAGTTACATGATTACAAGTGGTGAGCTTTCCTCGCTGTATCGCTCATACATGATAAGAAGTAGGTATTAGATGTGTTCCGATTTTAAATTGGAGAAGACATCACAAGTAGTACTATATTTAATAGCCTGTTCAGGAGACTAATCCCAGCTGGTTCAATAGCTGAAGTTACCTGACATAAGCTAACATTGTACAAACAGTATCAATATCTAATTGTGATTCTATATAAGACTGCTACATTGAACTTTGTACATTTGGGACTTTTATACTGCATGTTATAGTGATAATTCTTATTCAAGCTAACCAATAATGATTAAGTTTTATTCAGTTTTCTAAACTCACACACGTTGTTTTAAATTTAAAGATATATTACACCTACCACAACTACCCTTGGATACTTAGTAGAACACATTTAATACCTACTTCTTATCTTGCATTTTGGGCTTTTTAATGGAAGCCCTTCCTTCCCAGTAGAGTAGTACCTTCCCCCATACTATTTTGCTCAAAATCAGAAAATATTTATTCTCAAACCCTATCCATCTGTCATACATGTTGTGGGAGCATCCAGTAGAAGTTGTCAACTTGGCATGTATCATTTTTTGGAAAGCGCTGTTTACTAGAACCCACAAATCGTTCTCATTAGTAAAACACCAAGTTGAACACCAAATTTATACCTGGATAAAATCTATTAATACATCACTTAAAACGAACACTCTTTGGCACTCCACATGTTGTAGATCACATTTCCCTTCATGCTTTGCCAGCATTATGGGTGTAAGAGCATTATGGGAGATGTAGTCCTTAACATCTGGAGTGCTGACAGTTGCCTATCCTTGTCCTAGTATAACCTCATAGTAATACAGCCAACACATTGGCAAGTTGTGTCCACAGACTTGCAGGTTTGGCCACACCAGCGCATGCAGAGACAAGGCTTCCTGCACTAATGTCATCAAATGTAGTAACTTTTCAACAGCATTGACAAACATAAGCTATTATGAAAATCATAAACACAATTACTGTAATCTTTTTCATATTTTTTAATTTGTTATGCTTATATTCATTCTGTTCTTTTGGCAATATAAATGAATAAAGTAGACCTTTCCACAGATTTCTACTAGCCCATGCTCTGTAACCAGTGGAATCTCAAACTCAAAATTTATAGATTGCTGCTATAGAGGACTTAAAATGTCAAGTTCCTATCTGGCCCCCCATCAGAGATATTCAAAAAAGGGGAACAATGTAAAACAATTGCACTTTCTTGCACCCATAAAAAAAAACCAAAAAACAAGAGACATCTCAAACCTGAAATGTTTTGCATGCACACTATACTTACCTAGTTACCTCCCAACAAAACTGGGACTGGGACTCTAACCCTTCCCATTATAAATTGACTCTAAAAGTGGAATTTTGAAGTGATCTTAAGCATTATATTAAGGCT